GTTAGGTTGTTCGAACCATTTAACCGAATGATCTTAGCTTGATACTTGCATTGGTTAGAAAATTATCATCCCCGAATCCCTAGCTTTTCCATCGTCACTTGATTCTTATTTTCGGTTGATTTATGTTTTTTCATTATTTTATAGTGTGTTTAGGCTTTATTTTACTCTTGTTTATTATCAACATTGAATCTAAATTCCGAATCGCTATCCTCGAGAGATCGAACCGTGGAACGAATATTTTGATTTGGTACTCGGTAAATAGAAAAATAAATTGCTACAACAAATTTGGCGCCGTTGTCGGGGAAGGAAAGTAAGATATTTAGTTTTGGTGTTGATTTAATTTTTTGTGTTTTTCTTTGTTTCGTATTTTTCTTGTGTGTGTTCTATAGTCGTCGTCAAATTCACACGCAGAAAATATGCTGACTTGGTCTATCGGTCCACAATGACCCAGATGGCATTCTTCCTCGATCTCGATCTAGGTACATCCCAAAAAGTCCATTGTGACTAGCTCCCATTTCCACTAGGGAATGTTGAGTGGACGAAGCAAACCAGACGGTCTTTGATGCTCGGCCTTCACTCGTTGGCACACAAGGAAACTATCCACGTACTTCACCACATTTCACTTCATTCCTCTCCACCAGAGGGAACTCTTCATATCTTGGTACACCTTCGTACCTTCGGGATGGATGATGTACGAGGCATTATGTGCCTCTCTCAAAATGTCTCTTCGCAGCTCCCACACCTTGAAAACACAAAGTCCCTCTTCGAAGACTAAAGCCCCATCAGATGCGACTGTGAAACCTCCAACTCTGCCAGCCTCTATCAACTCTCACATCTGGCATAACAAATAGTCGTTAGGTTGCTCGACAACTATCCTCCCTCGAAGATTCGGTCCTATAATCAATGTTGTCAATACTTCATTGGCGATCGAAGTTGACTCCACTGTCCGCAACTTCATTCACTCGAACTCTCAAACTAACACCCATGTCTTGTAAGCAAACTAGTCAACTCACCATGACTCCTCAGACTAAGGGCGTTCTTGACCACGTTAGCTTTCCCGGGATAGTAGCTAATCATGCAGTCGTAGTCCTTAACAAGTTGTAACCACCTCCTCTGCCGCATATTGAACTCCATTTGAGTAAAGATATACTTCAGGCTCTTTTGGTCAGAAAATATCTTGCACTTCCCTCCGTGAAAGTAGAGCCACTTTAAAGCGTGGACCACTATGGCTAACTCCAAATCGCGGGTCGGGTAATTCTGCTCATGAGGCTTCAGCTGCCTCGACGCGTATGGCACCACCTTCTCGTGTTGCATTAACACACTGCCCAAACCCAACTTCGAAGCATTACTATATGTTGGTATGGCTCATATATTGACAAAGGAAGAGGGCAGGCTGATGCCTGCGAGCGTAACGGAGCGAACGTAGCGAGGGAAGTGGAGCGACCGAGCGAAGTGAGAATAATAAAAGATCCCGCAGC